GCGTGTTGGTGGTCAGCGTTGCAGCCTTAGTTGTAGGGGCTGCAGAGTTGAGCTGTGGTGTGACTGAGGTTTGGGTGGAGTGTGGTGCTCTAGTAGAATGCAATCTTTTAGGTGCCAAAGTTCAAGCCTTCAGTGGTTGAGCAGTCTCGTCTGCGACCTGCCACACCAAAGTGGCCGCAGTGGCGTAGACTATTAAGTTTTCTGTGGGACAAGCATTGCGTTCAACCGCTTAGTGTCAGAAACATCAAAATTCCTCAAGGGTCAGTCGATCAGAAATTATCCTAAAGTTACCTGTAGAACGGATTAAATATTGGCTCTTCGGTTACATCGAAACTGCTCATGTCAGCTGAATGGGAGAAATTTTCTGACTCCATCTCAACGCTTGTATCAAATCGACATTCGCTAGAATGCCACAGCTACCAGTATGAACTTCTACAGGAGAGTTAAAGTTCAATTACAAACAGTGCAATACGTTGAAATTTAGCGTCTAAGCAAACATAAGAGCCTGACAAACTTCAGAAACGCCCAGCCTTACTCTGCTGCATTATAGGCGTGTCAAAACCCGAGTAGGCTTACTAACTGCACCACTTACGTGGTATATTTTAGGCTGATTAGCGAAAGTTAGATGGTGCATCTGTAGTTGGGCAGATATTGGGCTGTAAGCCATTTGCGAATGTGTCCAAATTTGGTTGGCTGCAAGTTACCCGCTGACATTAACATTACCATCGGAGTAGCGAAACATGAGCCATACCCTCCTCTTGGATTATCTGTGACGGCTTTGAATGTACGCCACATGAAAAATAGTTTTCCGTGTAGCATTTCAGTGCATCACATTGGTATGCCGTGAAAGGACGAATGTTGCACTGAGTCGATGATTAGGGTGACATCAAATGCGCCACCATCCTAAATGAAATTCTAGACCGGCAAAGGATCGCAGATGCCATCGATTCAATATCGTGGACCTAAGAGGTTAGCAGAGGGGCTAAGCCAGTCACATCATCAAAATACAACGGTGTGCGTGTCTAAGTTGGTTGAATTATTACAAATAATACAAGAGTGCCCCACGGCACGACAATCTTGTAAACATTCAATGAAATTCTCTTGCAGGCAGTGGATATCGTTTCTAGGCAAGGTGAATGCCAAATAACCTTCAATAGTCTCAGCCAATTAAACTCATGATCGTCAACCGCTATCATAAAACGTCTGCTCTTTTTTGTGCGAATTCGCCGGGAAGGACAGCTAAATTTTTCCCCCAACTTCAGAGCATGAGCGTTAGACACAATCATGCGAATGCTTACATTTGTTAATAGCGAAAACGCCAAGGTACAACTGAGAAGGAGCATTTGGAGGCTTTATCTGGCTTCACTGCAAGTACGTGCGTACCAAATCTGTAAGGACTCACCTTAGACACCATATTTACACCCACGTATTTCTGGCTGAAACATGGCGGAGATCAATACAAACTTAGGTGTCTACTACTCACAGTTGTAACTGCAGTTTCACCCGATCAGCCAGCCACGGCGATAAGATCAAGTTGAAGGTCATGTAAATGCACAACACGCATTTTGTTAGTGTTGAACGTGTGCTGTGTTGAAAATTGCCATCCTTCTTATATTCATCGCCTATTGCTCTTGCACACATTCATTCTCCACTTTTGTCTTTACCT